ATTTCAAACAGTTTTTGTGTGTGTGTAATTGTTGAAATCTTTACTTAGTATAGAGTTTGTCTTCTGTATACAAAGTCAATTGAAAATGACTCTTAATGGAGAATGAGACTGGCAAGGGGAGAGGGAGGAAGAGGAAGGGTGTGAGTGTGGGTGGTAAGGTGGGTATGGTTGGAAGAATAACTATATTACTTTTTTTAACTTTTATTTACTAAATATAAATTTCCAAAGTACAGTTTATGGATTACAATGGCTTCCCCCACCCCATAATTTCCCTCCCACTCGCACCCCTCCCATCTCCCGCTCCCTCTCCCATTCCATTCACATTAAGATTCATTTTTCAATTATCTTTATATACAGAAGATAGATTTAGTATATATTAAGTAAAGATTTCATCAGTTTGCACCCACACAGAAACAGAAAGTGTAAAATACTGTTTTAGTACATAAGTGTACTTATGAAATTTTTATTCCTTAAAAATAAATTAAAAAGAATAAAGAATGATTTATTAGGAGGGAAAAAAGAAATTAGCTTATTAGATGTGTTATAATCTCTTTTCATTTCACATCTTTTCTGAGGTGGTCTTCTTTCCTCTAAAATCTTACACATTTTAAAATCAACAATAATTGGGGGCTGGTGCTGTGGCACAGCGGGTTAACACCTTGGCCAGATGTGCCAGCATCCCATATGGGCACTGGTTCAAGTCCTAGCTGTTCCTCTTCTGATTCAGCTCTCTACTGTGGCCTGGGTAGCAGCGGAGGATGACCCAAGTCCTTGGACCCCTGCGCCCATGTAGGAGACCTGGAATAAGCTCCTGGCTTCAGATTGGAGCAGCTCCGGCCATTGTGGCCACCTGGGGAGTGAACCACCGAATGGAAGACCTCTATCTCTGTCTCTACCTCTCTCTGTAACTCTGTCTTTCAAATAAATAAAATAAATCTAAAAAAAATCAGCAATAATTGTACTACTTATTGAACATAGAGTGATACATGTATACAATGTGCACTGAACAAATGAGGGTACATAAGCTGTCTCACTCTGACATTACTTTGTGATTGTATCCTTGGAGATATTTCTTGCATTTGCTAATAAAATATATAACATGTTATTGTGGACTAAAAGATTTTTTAAAAATTAAAAAAATAAAATAAAAATTAATTGATTCAAGTTTTGGTTTAGTTATTGATCTTTTGTTGAATATGCAGAAAAAGAAGGGAAGATAATGAAAAGGAAGGCTTAAGGACAATATCTACATAGAATTCCACTGTATAAGTTCTATCTGGTTGAACTATTTGTACTTTTAGTATATCCTCCAATGAATTTCTAAGTTTTATCCATTATGGACAACATAATTACCAACTCCTGAAAAGGACAAAGAAGGAGAACTGGGCTGGGGGCTAGTGCTATTGTGTTGCAGGTAAAGCTGCCACCTGTGACACCATCAGACCAGAAAGCTATTGGTTTGAAACCTGGATGCTCCACATCCAATCCAGCTCCCTGCTAATGCTCATGGGAAAGTAGCAATGAACGGCGTAAGTGTTTGGGCCCCTACATCCATGTGGAAGACCCAGAAGAAGCTTCCAGAACCTGGATTCAGCCTGGCCCAGCCCCAGCCATTGCAGCCATTTGTGGAGTGAAATCAGCAGATGGAAAATCTCTAGCTCTCTCTCCCTCTCTGTCTGTCAGTCTCTCAGGAGAGAACCAGGACTCAATAAATCAATCCTCTCCTTACCCAACAGGCATCCATCTCCTGACTTGACTGTGTATCCACCTCTAGTTCCAAACCCATCAGCAGCAAGTAGTATCCAGACCCTCACCACAAATGACCCTAACCACAAAAGATCCCATACTGCCCTCTTAGGAGTCCGTGCTCCTGCCCCACCCACATGTATGTGTCAAAGCAGAGTTACATAGACAGAAAAGGAGAAAATAAGACATTTTCCATCCACTGGTTCATCAGATGGCACAATAGCCAGGGCTGGGCCAGGCTGAAGCCAGGAGCCAGGAGCTTCTTTCAGTCTCCCATGTGGTTGCAGTGGCCCAGTGACTTAGGCCATCTTAATCTGCTTTCCCAGGTGCATTAGCAAGAAGGTGGATTGGAAGTGGAACAGCCTGGACTCGAACCTATGCCAATAGGGATGCCAGGTGCTTTTCCAACCTGCACCTAAGCCCAAATAGGGAGGCAACAGTGAGCACCACCACCATTTTGAGAGAGTTTTATGTGAAACAAAACAAAACAAAACCCAACGCAAAACAAAATGCTGTGTGCCAAGGCCAAGGGGGTTAAGCCAGAGATCAACAGGACATGACCACATCTCTTAAACTTGATAAAAGCCCCTGTTCAGCTCCAATTAGGGAGCAAATCAGTAATGCATCACCTCCCCATACCATACTAGACCTACTGTACTGACACATAAGCCACTAATAAACCTTGTATTTATTGCATGTTGGCCTCTTTATAATTTCTACAGCAAAGGAATAAAATAATTTTGGATTATTTTCAGTGGAGAGTCCAAATCTAAGTTCCAAAGGGATTGTACATAAGCAATGCAGTTTTGTTGGAAAAGTTGTATGAATGGAGGTATAGATTAATAATTCTGAAATGGCTATGAGTGCTTTTTAGGTTGAAGGTTCAAATCAAATATATTACTATTATATATGAGCATACACAAAATAAGTGGAAGTTGTTTAGATAGATTCATATGACACTAGGCTAGATTCAGGTCATACTGGAGACCTTAGTAGGATCACTTTGATTGTGATCATACAAATAACATTATGACTAGTCACTGCAGAAGTAGAAGTGTTACCTTTTTCATAAATTTTCTCCTGTGCCCACTTGCTAATCTGTTCAGCTTTACTTTTGGAAGCATAAACATTGGAGAAGCTTTGGTATTCTCTGATGAATAAACTGAATGCAGAAAAACTCATAGAACTTAGAAGTTAGAAAGCTGACTTAAGTTTCACCTGAAGTATAAAACTCCATGCAGGATGAATTAAGTCAGCAGCAAATCTTGATTTCAAATCTATGATCCATGCCTCTACTGGAATTTATTCTGTTTAGACTATAGAAAAAGGGCACTGGGTTCTTGTCTCATGATGTTGTCTGGGTTTGGAATATTTGCAAGGACATCTTCCTGAGAATTGTATTAGCTAATAAGACTCTGTGAAATCTGGTTACAAGAGGTAAATGATATCTTTCCTTCTACCAAAAAAGTCGTGTGTGAGAACTTGGGCTCTGCACTGTGTCCTTTGTGCCTGTGATGTGATATTAGTATTTTTTAAAATCTCTTGTCTCTTGTCTTTTAACCCTCAGCATTCAGGATTCATTGATACTTGTTTCTATTTATTTGTTTGTTTTTGGAGAATTTATCAAGGAATGATATTAACAGCATATGCCATGATGGAATATAATATATACATTGAAATTTATTATAGAAATGTTATAATAAATATTTGGAATAAGCTCTCATGTTTTAAGATGATAATTTTAAGTGAGGTTATCTTTCCTCAATGAGAGAAATACGAGTTTTGAGGGATGAAAGGTTTTCTTGAATTATGAATAACAAAAGTAAAACAAGAAGAAAACAGAAAAATTAAAAAATGGTGTTGGATATTTATGGAATATTATCAAATGACCCAACATATGGGTCTTAGGATTTCCTGAAGGTATGGAAAGAAAGAATTGATTATAAGTCCTATTCGGTGAAATAATAACTCAAAAATTCCCCAATATGAAGAAAGAAAGGGACATCCAAATGCAGGAAGTACGTAGAATTCCTAATAGATATGACCAGAAAAGATCTTCACCATGACACATTGTAGTCAAACTTTCTACAGTAAAACATAAAGAAAATATTCTAAAATGTGTACAAGAGTAATGCCAGATTATCTTTAGAGAATCTTCTTAGATTCAAAGCTGAATTCTCATCAGAAATTCTAAAGGCTAGGAGAGAATGGAGAGACATAGTCCAGGTGTTAAGAAAAAAAAATCATCAACCCAGAATACTGTACCCTGCAAAGCTCTCATTTATGAATGAAGGTGAAATAAAGACTTTCCATAACAAACAGAAATTGAAAGAATTCTTCGCCATTTGTTCTGCCTTACAGATAATACTTATGGATATGCTACACAGAGAAATATAGCCATCATTATGAAGGAATATGAAAGCAGAAATCTAGTAAAAGTACAAAGGGAATCCAAAGCAATCAATAGGAATATTTATTGAAAAATGGCAGGGCCAATCATTACTTATCAATATTAACCTTGAATTTAAATGGCCTAAAGTCTCCAATTGAAAGATACAGACTGGCTGAACAAATTAAAAAACAAGACCCATTTATTTGCTGCCTATAAGAAACATACCAGCAAATATACACACAGGCCAAAAGTGAAAGGCTGGAAAAATTTATTCCATGCTAACAGAAAGCAAAAATAGTAGAGGTAGCCATCTTAATGCCAGACAAAATATACTTTAGCACAAAAACTCTAAAAAGAGATAAAGAGGGCATTATGTAATGATTAAGGGAGCCATTAAACAGGAAAATGTGACTATAATAAATGTATATTCACCTAATGCAAGGGCACTTGGTTATTTTAAAACAAATGTTAATGGATCTAAAGGGAGACATAGATTCTAACCCAATAGTAATGAGATACCCATGTGAGTGCAATGTGCAGTTCCATGTCTCATAAGTTTTGTAGTCATGGCTTCTGGACACAATCTTGGTGCTGTGCTATCCAGTAGAGGGCTATGGTTTGTGAACAAGGAACTGTGGGGGATGAATAGACAGCTCTTCCTGTTGTGGGGATTCTTTGCTTATCATGAACATATGCACATGAATCCTTATTGAGCACATGTCCATTTTTTAGATCAGTTCAGTAAAGTGTGAAGGATGTTTTAACCTTATTTTTCTTTAGTTTTCGTTTGCTTTAATTAGGCTTTCTCCATCTACCCACAACTCATTCTGAGTCACTTATTGGCCTTCACCTTTCAAAATACCTGATGTCTAAAATTAATTTCCAAATCAGTGTAAGCTGATACTGGTCATATAACTGTATGCCTACAGACTTTTTTGATGTTTTGTACTCAGATTATCTTGCACCATGACAGATTTCTGGGGCCTCTGACTTTGGCGGGGATAACAGAATTCCACAATGTGAGTTTCAACAGAATACATTGTCCTGAAATATTCTTGATGTAATCTGTAGAATGAAAAGAACTTAATTACAATAAGGTTTTCTCAAAGGCTTAAAGATACATTTGTCAATAGAAAACTGGAAGAATTCATAAAAAATGATCCTGAATGCAGAAATATGATTTATGTTTCATGCTACTGAAATTTCCAAATGATGTTTTCTTATGCTCAGAATTTCACACTGCTCAAGAAGTTCTTTGGTGGGATCCTACAGACACATTGTTCAACTAGATTTGAATTATGGGATTTTAAGGATAGGTGAGGGACAAGGATAGTCTTAGTCTATTTTTGTTGCTATAAGAAATGAGGTTTATTTAGCTCAGAATTTTAGAGACTAAAAGTCCAAGATTGGGTGGAATCTTGTCTTTCATCAATGGTGAGGGTCTTACAATTATATCACAGCATTGCAGAAGGCAGTTAAGTTTATTTTGGAGAGATCAACATGCAAGACAGGAAACCAGAGAAACACAGAGGCTAAGTTTTCCCTTTTCATAGGAATACCACTCTCCAGAGAACTTACTAGGGTCCCTGGAGAAATGCATTAATTCCTTTAGAGGGTGATGGCCCAATGACCTAATTACTTTCTACTCTGCCTGATCTCTTAAAGGTTCTACCTTTTCTCAAAATAACCATAGAGGACGCATTCCACTACATGAACCTTTGGGGGAAACACACAAAGCACAACAGACACTTATTTTGAAAAAGTAGCTACTGACACACAACCAGGCAACTAGTTAATGGGGAGTTTACTGGGAAAGTAGAAAATGGAGCAGATTCTCAGAGCTTAAGGGAGTCGTCATAAATCAAGTGAATCTGTGTTTGGAAAAAATATATACATGAGGGATGGTACTTTGCTGTTCTCTGCCTGAAAGCCTATCACGCAAAACAAAGGATTTTGCATATGTCCTGTTTGAGAACTTCCTTTATGCTAAAATAATATTTTTAAAGTGATATTATTTTTAAATAATTTCATATCTACTTATATTCTCCAAAAATGGTACAGAGATTTTGGCTTTCAGTAATGTCAATGTCTTTTATAAATATAGGACATTTGTGAATCTTGACAACTTTGACAAAGGTCCACAAGTACACAGAGAAGTACAGACTTTCTTCAAACCTGACCATATTTCCTTCTGATACCATTTTTCTGTTCCCCAAGATGGAATTCAGGGTGCCACAATATATTTATTGCCACTTGTATTACTTATTTATTGCTGTATAACAAAGTGATTTACATCCTACTGGTTTAACCCCTGCCCTCCACACCCCTCCTCTCCCCCAACATTACTCACACTATCTCTAGGTTAGGAAGACAGTGCGGATGAATGCCACAGTAAAGCATTCAATGGAAGCTCTTCCAAGATCAGCTGAATTAGGAATCAGTTCCCTGCCAAAATAGAAATGTCTTCAGGCAAAAATCATTCTAAATCTTTAATGAATAACAATCCTTCACAAAATCTTCCTCCAGGCAGAACAAAACAGAACCAAAGAAAATAAATAATAAAAAAGAGAGCATTTTCCAGTGCATTCTAAGAGGCCAGTTTCCCCTAAAACCACAAACAGACAAAAGCATTACAATAAAGGAAAATTATAGAAACATGTTTTCAAAAAAATTATATGAAAATAAGCCAGCAACATGTTAAAGAGAATCATACACTTTGACCTGGGGTATTTACCTTAGAAGTGCAAGTTTGATTCAAACATGCTCACTGGTCTAGGTCTGGTATATGTTCTGGTATATATTCTCATATTCTCTCTTACTATTCTCATAATTTTCCCATGACTCAAAACATAACATACATTTTCACTTTATTCTTTCTATCAAATGCACCCTATAGATTACTTATGTAACAATAATTGTACACCTAAATTTTTAAGTGGTGGATAATTAGGCAACTTAAAACATTCATGAAAAAATGTATATTATGAAAAACCTATGCAATGAGTAAAATGCACTGTATGAATACATTAAAAGACAAAAATCACTTGATCATCTCCAAAGAGACAGAATAACCATAAGACTAGTCAAAAACATTCACCAGAAAAAATAAATGCAACATATTAGGCACAAAAGGGAATTTTCTTCCCCTGAATTGGGCATCCATAAAGTACTGACATCATATCAAATGTCATAAAGAATTGCTCTCTAATTCAAAGTTAGAAAATATACAGGGTCTCATATTGTGATGCCATGGCCTGTGATACCAGCATCCCCTATTGGAGTGCCCAACTGACTTTCAGGTGCTCTGCTTCCTGTCCAGGTCCCTGCTAATGCACTTGGGAAGGCAGTGGATAAGACCTAAGTGCTCAGGGACCTGCCACCCATATGGGAGACCAGAATGGAGTAAGTGGCTCCTGGCTTCTACTTGACCCAGACCTGGATGTTGTAGCCATTTGGGGAATAAACCAGGAGACAGATGATATCTATCTCTGTCTCTTCCTCTCTGTTGCTCTGCCTTTTAAGCAAACAAATATATCTTTATTTTTTTTCTTTAAAAAGGTGGAAAATACACAAATATGTACAATCTTGCCATTTCTAGATGACACTATACTGAAGGTGGTAGTCAGGGTAATTAGGACAGAAATATGAGTTATGTAGATCAGAGAATAAAATCAGACTATCACTCTTTGCAAGTAGCATCACAATTTTTATGAAAATACTAAGGACTACACCAAAATACAATTAGAAATAAAAAACAAATTCAGAAAATTTGCAGTACCCAAGGTAAATGTGCAAACAACTACCAACTTCATTTCTACACATTATCTACTAAAAATCTAAAAACAAGATTCAGGAAACAATTCCATGTAAAATAAGATCAAAAAGGAAAATAATTGGTAAAAATTTAATAAGATAGGTACATTGAAACTAGAAACATTTTGAATAAAATTGGCATGTTAAACAAATGGGAATATATTTCCTTTACAGTAACCAGAAAACACAATATTATCAAGATAAAATAGGTTCCAAATAGGTAAAATATGCTACATTTTTTGCCTAAATTGGCAAATGGATTGTAACATTCACATGTAAATGCAGGAGTCTTGGAAAATAACTAAGTTGGTGTTCTAAACTTACTTCATGATTCCGTTTCTTTCTTTCTTTTTTTTTTCTTTTGACAGGCAGAGTGGACAGTGAGAGAGAGAGAGACAGAGAGAAAGCTCTTCCTTTGCTGTTGGTTCACCCTCCAATGGCCGGTGTGTTCGGTGCACCACAGCCGGTGCACCGCGCTGATCCGAAGGTAGGAGCCAGGTGCTTCTCCTGGTCTCCCATGGGGTGCAGGGCCCAAGCACTTGGGCCATCCTCCACTGCACTCCCGGGCCACAGCAGAGAGCTGGCCTGGAAGAGGGGCAACCGGGACAGAATCCGGCTCCCCGATTGGGACTAGAACCCAGTATGCTGGCGCCGCAGGCGGAGGATTAGCCTATTGAGCCGCGGTGCCGGCACTTCATGATTTCAAAACTTACTTTAAGGGACCAACAATGTGGTATAGTGGCTAACGCTGCCACCTGTGACGACAGCATCCTATACAGGCGCTGTTTCATGTCCCAGCTACCCCAGGTCAGATCCAGCTCCCTGCTAATGGCCTAGGAAAGCGGCAGAAGATGACCCTTGTACCCACGTGGGAGACCCAGAAGTTACTGGCTTCTGGCTTTCAGCCTGACCCAGCCCCAGCCATTGCAGCCATTTGGGGAATGAAGCAGTGGATGGGAAATACTGTCTGTCTGTCATCTGTCTGTCTCTCTCTGTCTAGTCTCCATCTCTTTCTGTAATTCTGCCTGTCAAATAAATCAATCTTAAAAAAACTTTACTACCAAAGGGTAAAAGTTACTATCAATGGTGCTAGTATTACAATAGGCACACAAACCATTGGAGTAGTTAAAAACTAACACATTTAGGTCAAATGATTTCAAAGTCTACCAAGTTAATTCAATATGAAAATATTTTTTCAACAAACATTCCTGGAACAATTGGACACCATCTGCAAGCTGGAGTCCTTACTCACACTATATAGATAATTCACTCAAAATTTATCACAAGAGAACCTAGAAATATATCTTTATGGTCTTAGGTTAAAAAGAATATATATATATATATATGATAAAACATAAATAAACATAAGATATATAAATACATATACTACATATAAGATATAAATATAAAAAAATGACAACAAAACCTCCAAATGTAGGTAAAATGATTTGTGATGCAACGTACATCATGAAAGTGAAGATACCCCAGATAATCAGAAAATCTTTGAAAGTCATCCAGGTGATAAGGCTCTGCTATGGCTTAGATATTAGCTTTAGTGTTAAATGTTCCCTAAAGGCCTATGTGTTGAAGGCTTTTATGTTAGTGCTAGTAACATTTAACATACTTTATTTTATTTTAAAGTACACACAAACAACACACACACACACACATGTGTGTGTGTGTATATGTATATGTGTATATATATGTATATGTATATGTATATATATGTATGTATATATATATATATATATATGGGGGGAGAGAGAAATAACGATTTTCCATCCACTAGTTCACTTTCCAATTTCCCTCAACAGCAGGTCTGAGCCAGGTTGAATCCAGAAGCAATCTCAATCTCAAACATAGATGGTAAGGAACCAAATACTTGATAGAAAATCTGCTTTCTCCAAGAGTGCACATTAGAACTAAGGAAGCTGAAAAGGAAGCTGAGGCGAGCCTGGATCCCAGGCACTCTGATATGGGATGAAGAGAGGACATTCCAATGGCAGCTGTACCAAAACAGCTCCATCGAGATTTTATATTTACAATAATTATTTTAGAGGGAGAGGGAGAGGGAAAGAATGTTCCTATATGTTGGTTTACTCTTCAGTGCTTAGGAGGCAGGAACTCAACCCAATTATCCTATATGTCTGGCAGAGAGCCAACTACTTGGGCCATAACCTGCTTGCTCCAAGGCTGTATTAGCAGCAAGTTGGAATCTTAAGCATATCCAGGACTCAAATCCAGTCACTCTTATATAGGATGTGGGCATCCTAAATGGCATCTTAAGCTTTGCAGCAAATGCCTATGCTGTTAAGTGGAAATTCTAAGTCTAAATTCCAAAGAATTGGGGTCAGTGCTATGCTGCAGTAGGTTAATGCCCCAGCCTGCAGCACTGGCACACCATATGGGTGCCATGTTGAGTCCCTGCTGCTCCACTTCCAATCCAGCTCCCTGCTAATATGCCTGGGAAAGCAGCTGAGGATGGCTCAAGTCCCTTGGGCCCCTGTACGTAAATGGGAGACTTGGAATAAGCTTCTGGTTTCTGGCTTCAGATTGGCTCAGCTCTGGCCATTGTGGCCATTTGAGTAGTGAACCAGCAGATGGAAGACTTCACTTCTCTCTATAACTCTTTAAAATAAATAAAAATAAATCTTTGGGCCAGCACTGCGGCTCACTTGGCTAATTCTCTGCCTGTGGCGCCGGCACACCAGGTTCTAGTCCCGGTCGGGGCGCCGGATTCTGTCCCGGTTGCCCCTCTTCCAGGCCAGCTCTCTGCTGTGGCCCGGGAGTGCAGTGGAGGATGGCCCAAGTGCTTGGGCCCTGCACCCCATGGGAGACCAGGAGAAACACCTGGCTCCTGCCTTCAGATCAGCGCGGTGCGCTGGCTGCAGCGCACTGGCCACAGCAGCCATTGTGGGGTGAACCAGTGGAAAAGGACGATTTTTCTCCCTGTCTCTCTCTCTCACTGTCCAGTCTGCCTGTCAAAAAATATATTATCTTTCAGTTTGTATTTCTAAACTATGTATTATTCATTTTTCCTTAGTTTATTCTTATATCAACACATTTAACTTAATGTATACCCCTAGCTCTATTAAAAGAAACCAGACTGTTCTGGGATAGTCTACCAAATGCCTGGCTGATAGTTTACATAATGGTCAAAGTCATGAAAAATAAGTGAAGAATGACGAACTGCAGAATACAGTTGACATAATATGGCAGGTATACCTTAATGTGGTGACTAATGATCCTCACATGTTGTTCATACAACTTCATTTTCTAATCCTCTCCTCTTGACATTTGGAACACAATACTGTAAAGATAGTGGATGTAATGTTACACAGGTTGTGGCTTAGGCTTTGATAAAAATCTTCTCATTTCATGTATTTCATTGAGTGTTTGTGATATGAGGAAAGCACACAGGTATATTTGTTTGGGTATTAGTTTTGATATTCCCCAAAGATCCATCTGTTAAATGTTTTTTCTCCAAAGTCCTATAGTAATAGTATTTAGAGGCTAGGAATTTAACCAAATTGTGATGAGATGAGGCCTTTAGAATGTGATTAGTTTGGGTTAGATTGGCAGAGTGGGGCTCTGTCATCAAGTCATTGTGGATTTATTAGGAGTGCAAATGCACTCCCTCTTGCATGGAATGTTCTGGGCCACTTTATGTCTCTACAAGTAAGAATGTTCACCATCAACAGATGCTGAACAAATGGGGCTGCCTGATCTTGAATACAGGATTGAAATGAGGCTTTCCCTTTTCATGGAGTGAAGTATGAACTTAGCTAGGGGAGAAGGTTTCTTGAATTACAAATGCCCAAACAAAAAACATCTAAGTATCTCCTAGCTCAATGTTAGAAGTTACAAATGTGTAAGGCTTCCAAGGTGGAAGAGTGGGGAGGAGCTTACTGTTCTAATCTAGGAGAAGAAAATTTAAAAAACTGGAGAGAGTGCAGTCTGAGAAAAGAGTTAGGTAGAAAATGGTAGGAAACTATGCAAATTAGAGGGACACAGTAGACCTATGTGGAGGGTGTGGAAGCCCACAACTCAGGACCCCAGCAGCAGAAAGCTTCCACACCAACATTGGAGAGTGACATGAAACCAGATTGCAGCAGCCCAAGCTACTGGCCATAAAGCTGGCAGAAGAGCCTAGACAGAACCCGGCTTGGAACCTTGTGGGGAATGCTGTACGGGCTAAACTAAAGGAGAATAAAAGGAGGGGCACATTTCTCTCTCCCCATGACCCTGCAACAGCATCCTATAACAAGATGATAAAGCATGTGCATGTTTGGACATATATAAGAGCTGTGCAGCTCATTCTGCGCCCAGCAACCAGCCAAGTAGATTCCTAGCTCCGGCAGGGAGAAATAACAGGGTGCTTGGTGTTCATGTTGTGGGAGGCTTGTGTGCTGGGATTCTGAAAAAACCGAGACTGAGTGGGAGGGCAAATGGTGTGGCTGGGACTTTGGGCAGTCATTGTGGGAGACTCCACATGATCAGGACTCCATGATAACCCGGTAAGGGACATTGCTGGGGAATCTGAGCTTACACTGAGGACTGCACAGATCCTCTGTGTGGTCCTTGTGGCAGAGTGGACAAATATACCTACTGGGGCTTGCGCTCAGGCACTGGTCTCCTTTTGAGGAGAGGAGCACAACTTAGTAGATTAAACCTCCCCTCTGACAAAAAAGGAGGAGATTTACCATGCCAAACCTGGTTGTATCACTTTAGACATGCCCTTCACCCTGGAGAACTGAACAGAGCTCCCTGGCCACACCAACTACTAGCCTCTAGATATTCACTGAATGCAGACACTCCACTATTCTACAGAGTATTAGTGCAAAGACAAAAGCCACCGTAGCAAAAAAAAAAAAAAATCAATGAGTGTATCCAAAAATGCTGAAAAACAAACACACAAATTTAAGAAACATGAATAAGGAAGATAACAAGATGCCCACAAAAAAACAAAACACTTCATTGCTAGATTATGAAGATGATGAGTTTGAAGAAATGCCAGAAATGACATTCAAAAAATGGATCATAATTACATAGAAATAATCAGAAGCATATGCATGAACTACTGTAATCTGTACATGACATGAAAGAAAATTTCTCCCATAAAATTGAGATCTTTAAGAGAAATCAAAATTAAATGAAGAATTCAATGGAGCAGATAAAAAATGCAGTGGAGAGCCTTCACAACAGTGAAATAAGCCAGCCCCAAAGGTAGAAATACTATATGCTCTCTCTGATCTGTGAGAACAGAGTACCTAAAATGAAATCTGTAGAAGTGAAATTCACACTTTAAGAAGGGATGACTTGAGCAGCCCTTGTCTTGACTATTGAGGAACAGTTTTTTTTTTCTTCTTCATAATATTTGTTGAACTCTTTACTTAACATAGAGTTAATCATATGCATACAAAGTCAGTTGAGGATGGATCGCATTAAAAATAATATTGCGGAGAATACTGGAAAGAACAGGCCATCAAAGAAGGAGGTATCTTTCTCTGAAGGGAGGAAAGAACTTCCACTTTGACTATGACCTTGTCTAAATAAGACCGGAATCAGCGAACTCAAAATGCTTCCATAGCCTTAGCAACTCAATGCAAGAGCCTAGGGAGATTACTGACGCCATAAACAAGAGTGTCAATTTGTTAAGTCAACAACAGGAGTCACTGTGCACTTACTCCTCATGTAGGATCTCTGTCCTTAATGTGTTGTACATTGTGAATTAATGCTATAACTAGTAAACAAACAGTATTTTATATTTTGTGTTTCTGTGTGGGTGTAAACTGTTGAAATCTTTACTTAATATATGCTAAATTGATCTTCTGTATATAAAGATAATTGAAAATGAATCTTGATGTGAATGGAATGGGAGAGGGAGCAGAAGAGGGGAGGGTTGCAGGGGGGAGGGAAATTATGGGGGGGAGGAAGCCATTGTAATCCATAAACTGTACTTTGGAAATTTATATTTATTAAATAAAAGTTAAAAAATAAAAAAATATTGGGGATAAGAGAGGGAGGAGGAATTTCTAACTGTAAAGCTGTATAGTTTTTCATATATTCCTACAGACTTACTTCTAAGGGTACAATTTATAAACTTGCCATGGGACCCCAAATCCCATTAAGCTGTGTGGTATGAATGCCATCTTAAGTGTTAAAGTGGTCACATTAAGTGTTTAAGTGAACGTATAGAGAGTATTAAGTGTTAAAATGATCATATAAATAGGATCAAGTGTCTGGTAATAATAATAGATAGAATTAAAAAAGAGAGAATGTTCCAACATGGGAAGAAGTACACACAGCAGACTAGAATGACAATCACTTTAAACAGCAATTTGACCTCAGAATCAGACCTTAAGGCATTCTGGTCTGGCTGAAGAGCCTATGAGAGCATTTCAGGCATGGAAAGCCAAGACACTGTGGCAAAAATGTTCTACATGAAGGATCTCTGTGACTGAGACCCCAGTGGAGAGAAGTGGCCACCAAAGAAGGGTGTACTATTCTCTTAAGGTTGGAGAGAACTTCCACTTTGCTTATTGCCTAGTCTAAATACTGACAGGGTTTGTGGATTCAAAAGGCTTCCACAGCCTTAGCAGCTCATATCAAGAGCCTTGGGTGGTCACTGACATCATACATAAGAGTGTTAATTGTTAAATTAACAACAAGAGTCACTGTGCACTTACTTCCTATGCAGGACCTCTGTCCTCAATGAGTTGTATTATGAGAATTAACTATAAAACTAGTTCTCAGTTTGTGTGTGTGTGTGTGTGTGTCTGTGCACGCAAACTGTTGAAATCTACTTAATATAGAGTTGGTCTTCTGTATACAAAATTAATTGAAAATGAATCTCAGTGTGGAATGGGACTGGGAAGGGGAGTGTGAGGAGAAGGGGGAGAGGGGTAGGAAGTAGAGGTAGGAGTGTGGGTTGGAGAGTGGGAAGAATAACTATATTCCTAACGTTGTACATATGAAAGTATATTCATTAAATAAAATGTTTCTTTGGGAAAAATAAGAAAAATGAAACAAGTGTTTGTAAAATACAATATTTTAAAATTCTCAAAAAATGTTAATATATGTGGTCCAAGTCAGCTGACAATCTCACACTAGAACTCTTGGCTATAGGAATTCATTTTTTTCCACTAAAGACATAAATGTGGGATGAAAAAAAATCACATGAACATTGACCATAACAATGAGAACATTGACTGCTTGAATGTCTATGAAAGTGCTGCATGCAGGAACAGGGTTTATAATTACTTTCAGCATGATTCCTGGACACAATGCAGAATTGTATGGACTGTCAACAGGGAGCTGTATGGGGGGACGAGTAGGTAGTCCTCCTGCCATGGGGATTCCCTGTTTGTCTAGCAGATATGCAGCTATCACCCACTCTGTGTCCCTCTCTTGCATTACTGTGTGAGGCTTGGAATATGTTGTACATTGTTTGCTATTTTTTAATACCAGGATTATTCTACTTGAATATTATATGTTCAGAATCACTCTCTTGCCTTCATCTTCAAAAAAATATGCTGTTAAAGGTTTTTGTCCTGGTCTGTATAAGCAGGCAATGATCTAAATTATCAGGTTTGTAAAGATGACTTTTGGGAACACAGGTGACCTGATGATGCCTATTTTATGACTCTCTTGGCCCTAGTAATGGATAATATAATTTCAAGATATAAATATAAACAGAATATATGAGTGCAAAAAATTTATCAGGGGGTTTGCAGAATGAGGCAACATAATTTAAACAGGGTGACCTTAAAAGTTTTGAGGTACAGTTGTCCTTTCTAAAACATCAGAAAGGACACCCTGAAGTAAAGAAACCATCTACTGGATACTGAATTATTTTTTATGTTCCCTATTACTGAAATTTCTTACTACAGATTTCTAATGTTCAGAATGAATTCCTTCTAAAAAATTTTTAATGGAATCTTGCAGATAACATTGCCAGAGGTTTTGGAAATAGGACTTTCTGAGACATTTGATGTGCAGGCACCTATCTTATAAGAAGTAGTTTTTGAAACTCAATCTTGACACTGGGTAATATGGAATGTTTGTGGAAGAATAAAGAGGAGAAAGGTCCTAGGAATTTGGTGGTGTTTTCTTTAAGCAGGTGCACACAGGTTTGGATATCCAAGGAAAGTTGCTTTGCCTTTTTTCTCAAAGATGTCCTCTTAGCATTTGAGCCCAGCTTTTGTGTTTATATCTGTAGGAGTTGTTTTTTTTTTTGTACTATGATTATTTTAAACACATTACTTTTGAAGCAATTTTGATTTACAGAAAGTTACAAAGATAATACAAGGAGTTTCATATATACTTCAGATTCCTGTAATGTTCATCTATTATCTAACCATACACTACATATGAGACATGAGAAACAGATATTGATAACAAAACTGCTAACCAAAGAACAGACTTTGTTTTTATTTTACCAGATTTTTCAATAATAATAATTTTTTTTGTTCCAGGGTCCCATCAAAACACCAAATTACATTTGTTGCCAGTGTACTACTTATCTATTACTATCCAACAAGTTCACAGTGATTTTGGTGGCTCAAAACAAAGCACACGCTACTCACAGCTTCTTGGATAAATGGCCATATCTAAGGTCTTTGGTGATGGTTCATGACAAGAAGAAATCATTTTATGAGCTCATAGAACTGTTGTGAGGACTCAATTCCCTCCCAGGTTTAGGTGATTTCACTGGTAAATTAAACCTAAAATGAATTAATAACAGAACTTCAGTAACTCCTTTTTAAAGAAAAAAATAATAACAGATTAGAAGAGACCACTTCCCAATGCAATATATGAGCCTGATTACTCTGAAACCATAAACAGACACAGAAATTACAAGAAAGAAAATTACAGACAAATACGTCTCTTAAATAGAGGAAAAATACTGAAAGGGAGATATCAAAATATATTAGCAACATATAACAGCTACCTTACACCCTAAGAGTACTTATCCCCAAAACGTAAGTTTGGAAAAAGTGAAATTACCAAAAAAGATAATATTAGTAGTAACTGAGTTTTGGAGAGAGAAACATTAATTAGATGAAATAAATAGATAATAGTGTGTCATGTCAGTGTATCTATTCCCTATGATATTTAGTGGTTATGTTGATCAGCCAAATGTAAGGAGATTTTAAAAAGTATTTAGTAATTTGGGAGATTCAAAGGGCAATGCAGATAAAATAATATAATTATTTAACAAATAAATGAAATAGCTTTACTGAGTTACTGCGGAGAGAATTGGACTGACCCACATAATTTAGAACATATGAGGGTATTTCAAAAAGCCTGTAAAAATGAAATTGAAACATAAGTTCATTTTGGTACAAAAATGTCTTGATATGCAGATTTTCTGTAATATGCATTTTCTTTTTTTAAAAGATTCATTTATTCATTTGAAAGTCAGAGTTATACAGAGGGAGGAGAGGCAGAGAGAGAGAGGGAGAGAGAGAGGTCCTCCATCTGATGGTTCACTCTCCAATCAGCTGAAATGGCTGGAGCTGTGCCAATCTGAAGCCAGGAGCCAGGAGCTACCACTGGGTCCCCAGTGTGGGCACAGGGACCCAAGGACTTGGACCATCTTCCACTGCTTTCCCAGGCCATAGCAGAGAGCTGGATCAGAAGTGGAGCAGCTGGGTCCCAAACCTCTGGCCATATGGGATGCTGGTGCTTCAGGCCAGGGTGTTAACCCACTGTGCCACAGCACTGGCCCCTGTAATATGCATTTTCAATGAACTACTGAAGACCACATCTAAGTGGTGATTTTAAGTTTTAAAATACAAAGGATGTATACATAAGCAAAGCCCTTTAGTAGGTAAAGTCTTTTTACAAGTGGCTATTGATTACCAGTTCTGAAAACAGTATACATTTACAATCAACAATCCATGCCATATAAATCAAATTGCAATGATGTAGGTACTTGAAAATGGTACATGAACCTACTGAAAGAACTTCCAGGGGTTCTATAGGAAGCATTTGGGCAACAAAAACAAATTTAGCGTTAAGTATAGTGTAAAATGAATATCCATAATTTCATATGATAATACATTTGACATAGATGATTCAATAAATTAAAAAATGACAAATGAATGTGATTAAACTGCCATGTTGATGAGGATGCTTAGCCTAATGATTTAATCACCACATCCCGCATTGCAATACCTGGGTTTCATATCCAGATCTGGCTCCTGACTTAGCTTCCTGCTAATGTAGATCATCTAGGCAAGAGTGAAGTAACTGGAATGCACTGTATGTGAATCACATTCATGTGGGATATCTACATTGATATTTTTGGAAGGCTGGGCTGTTATAGGCATATGAGGAGTGAACCAGTGGTTGGAAGTTCTGTTTTTTATTCTCTCTCTCTACTTCTCAAATATATACATATATATGTATATATATATATATAAGTATATATATATATATTTAAAATGTTTGCTGAAGAAGTAGACATATTTGTGCAACTTCTGCCTACGAGAAAGCTGAGAATAATGCCCTACTTTTAAAAAACAATCTATTTTTTTCTTATATTATTTTTCCACATAAATCAAATAATTCTATCTACCTTCCATACAGCTATTAGGGCTATTAAAGTTATTTGTGGGCTGCTGGAGTTTTATGTTGTCTCTGAATCCATTGTGAGTCAGCTTCAATAAAGAAGCAGGAGCTAGTCATCCTTGACATAGAGTCAGGAGCTTCTTCTGGGTCTCCCACATGGACGGCAGGAGCCCAAGTCCTTGGACCATTATCTGCTTCACTGCACATTTGCAGGATGGAATGTATAACAGCTGGGACATGAATCAGTGCTCATAGAGGATTTCTCAGTTACAGGTAGCAACTTAACTTGATACACTACAATGCAGGGCCCATGCCCTAATCTTTTAAATGAAATGGATACGTATTGGAATACAGTGTATCATTTTCCTTTTAAAAATATGGGGCCCCCCTCTTCCAGGCCAGCTCTCTGCTGTGGCCAGGGAGTGCAGTGGAGGATGGCCCAGGTGCTTGGGCCCTGCACCCCATGGGAGACCAGGAGAAGCACCTGGCTCCTGGCTCCTGCCATCGGATCAGCGCGGTGCGCCGGCCGCAGCGCGCCGGCCGCGGCGGCCATTGGAGGGTGAACCAACGGCAAAGGAAGACCTTTCTCTCTGTCTCTCTCTCACTGTCCACTCTGCCTGTCAAAAAAAAAAAATGGGGCCAGTGCTGTAGCATAGTGGGTAAATCTGCTGTCTGCAGTGCCAAGATCCCATATGGGCGCCAGTTCGAGTCCTGGCCTCTCCACTTCCGATCCAGCTCTCTGCTATGGCCTGGGAAAACAGTGGAAGATGGCCCAGGTCCTTGGGCCCCTACACCCATGGGAGATCTGGAAGAAGCTCCTGGCTCCTGGCTTTGGATCGGTTCAGCTCCGGCCATTGCCGTCAATTGGAGAGTAAACCAGCAAGTAAGTGGAACTCCTCTCTCTCTCTCTCTCCCTCTCTCTCTCTCTCTCTCACTCTCTCTCTCTCTGCCTCTCCTTCTCTCTGTGTAACTCTGACTTTCAAATAAATAAATCTTTAAAAAAATAAGTATATAGAAATTTCTTTAGGATAGACCATATGCTAGTCCATAAAGCAAGTCTCAGTAAATTCAAAAACATGAAAGTCTTACTGTGTATCTTTTCTGACCACAATGAAATGAAGCTGGAATTTAACAATTTAACAACTCAGGAATCTCTAGAGCACATAAACTTGAAGAATGAACAACATGTTCCTGAATGGACAGTGCCTCTTAGAAGAAATCAAAAGAGAAGTCAAAAAAACTTCTGGAAATGAATGAAGACAACAATACAACATACCAAATCTTATGGGACATAGCAAAAGCAGTGTTAAGAGGAAAATTTATAGCAATTTGTGCCTACATCAAGAAATAGGAAAGACATCAAATAAATGCATCTCAAGGACCTAGGGAAAAAAACAACAAACCAAACTCAAAAGTGGTAGGAAGAAAAAATAATTAAAATTAGAGAAAAAAATATTGAAAATATAAAAGATCAGTGAAATGAGGAGCTTTTTTTTTGAAAAAATAAACAAAATTGATATACCAGTTTCCCAACTAACCAAAAAAAGAGAAGAACAAAATCAATAAAATCAGAGATGAAAAAGGAAATGTGACAACAGGTACCACAGAAATAAAAAGAATCACTAGGAATTACTACTAAGAGATATATGCCAACACATTGGAAATTCTAGAAGAAATGGATAGATCCTTGGACACAATCTACCAAAATTGAGTCATGAAGGCATAGAAAACCTAAACAGACCAATAAATAAGATGAAGACTGATTCAGTAAGAAAGACCTTTGCAACAAAGAAAAGCCCAGGACCAGATGGCTTCACTGCTGAAACCAGACATTTAAAGAAGAACTAATTCCAATTCTTCTCAAGCTACTTAAAAGAACAAAAAGGAAGGGGATCCTCTCAAACTCCTTCTATGAAGCTGGCATCATCCTAATTCCTAAACCAGAAAAGGAAACAACAGAGAAAGAGAACTATAGACCAATATCTTTGATTAACATAGATGCAAAAATCATTAACATAATACTAGCTAAGCAAATCCAACATAATATTAAAAAGATCATTCAACCAGACCATGTGGAATCTATCCCTGGTATACAGTGATGATTGAACATTTGCAAATCAATAAATATATCACATTAACAAACTGAAGAACAGATTCCATATGATTATCTCAACATATGTAGAGAAAGTATTTGATAAAATGCAACATGCTTTCATGATGCAAATCTTAAGCAAATTGGGTAGCGAAGGAACATTTCTCAACACATTCACAGCAATTTATGACAAACCCACAGCCAACACCTTTTTAATGGGGAAATTCTAGAAACATTCCCACTAAGATTGGAACCAGACAAATATTCGCACTCTCACCCTTGATATTCAATATAGTCCTGGAAATTTTAGTCAGAGCTATTAGGCAAGAAAAAGAAATCAAAGCAATATAAATTGGAAAGGAGGAAGTCAAACTATCCCTATTTGCAGATGTCATGATTCTAGATAAAAGGAACTAAAGACTCCATTAAGATTATTAGAACTCAAAAAAAAGTTTTGTAAAGTGGCAGGATATAAAATTAACATACCAAAATCAATATGCTTTGTATACACAGACAATGTTGCAGCTGAGAAAGGAGTTCTAAGATAAATCCCATTCACAAGAGCTATAAAAATTGCATACCTTAGAATAAATTTAACCAAGGAAATCAAAGATCTCTATGATGAAAATTACAAAACATTAAAGAAAGAAAGAAAAATATACACAAAAAGTGGAAAAATCTTTCACGTCCATGCATTGGAATAATTAATATCATCAAAATGTACATACTATCAAAAGCAATTTATAGATTTAATGTGATCCCAATCAAAATACCTATGACATTCTTCTCAAATCTAGAAAAAACAATGCTAAAATTTATAAGGAAACACAAGAGGTCTCAAATAGCTAAAGCAATCTTAAACAATGAAAACAAAACCAAAGGCATGAAAATGTCAGATTTCAAGACATACTATGGGGCAGTTATAATCAAAACAGCCTGGTGCTGTCAATGGAACAGAATAGAAACTCCAGAAAGTAATCCACACATCTACAACAAACTTATCTTCAATAAATGAGCTAAAAATCAATCCCTGGAACAAAGACAATCTGTTAGTTC